AGTAAGAACAGAGGAATTAGAATTTGATACTGTGTACCGAGTACCGTGTTTAAAAAAGGCTCCCTTACACAGTAGTACCAGGGTAGAAAACGCAGTACATTTCCACAATGTCAGTTTCATTATTCAGAAATAAAGCAGCTGCTGGATACTAGTAAAACTCTTATTTAGAGGTGAATCAGTATGCGATACATACTTTCTTATTTATTTAAACCACACACCATCTGTCATCTCTGACAACTGACATGATAATGCTAAACACAAAGTTAGCTCCACAAGTAGAGAAATGAGCTGTGTGTCCAAAACCTGGCAGCACAGGTTCAACGTAAAAACACAGAACCCCCTCACACTGTTCATCTTAGCATAACATGCTAAGATGCTGCTGTTTGCTGCTGCACAGGTGAGGATTAGAGATGAGTGCAGTGTAAACAGGCAGAGCTTCACTCCTGATAAACTGGGTCAGTATGAGTGATCTGTAAAAATATAAGCATAGCAACGTGATTCATTCAGTCTGCTCCTCTGTCATCTATTCCCAAACTGAACCTCTAAACACTTGTCATGACACGTCCAACAGAATCTGGAATAAATTATAGTTTTGTGCAGGAGAGTGTTCTGACCTCAAACTGAAACAAAAGATAAATAAATAAAAAGTAAAATTATAATGTAATGTAACATCAGGGCCACAGTGGGAGCCATGGAATTAAAGCTATACATGTTTGAGTGCTACAGAAAAAGCATTTGTCAAGCAGCATACACCATTGTGTCAACTCATGGACCACAACTGTTCAATGTGGTGTGAGACCTCTCCGGTCCAGTGCTGAGGGAACGCTGCCTCCTGGTGGAGAGTGAGCAGTGCTGCATCACAGACAACGGACGACAATACTGTGCTGCCCTCAGAGAGAGAGAAGAGGGTCAGCATGTATCAGTGTTGCCTGATTTAAAAGGTTGAATACATAAAGTTTTATAGAAGTTAGATGGTTCCCACTATGAATAAAGTCAGGAGGAAAGCCGGAATAGCTGGAATAGCTGAGCCATACCTTATAGATTTTAAAGGAATAAGGAAAGAAGCTGCTCCTTATCCACGTTTATCTTCGCTGTTAGAAGTGAGAACACAGCCAGTGCTTTCTCATTAATATAAGAACACAGCCAGTGCTTTGTCATTAATATATATTTTTTTTTTTTTGCAGGGCAGGTAGGTGGAACATTTACAATTACAATGCATCTGTTAATAATAATGAACATTCTGACATAATGTGAATTTGTCAATAGCTTTATATGCCATAGTATGTTCCCTTGTGTCCATGACACTCCCAGAATTCCCTGCAATGCAGATACCACACTGAGCGGTAAATATTAGAGAGATTATTAGAAGAGATCATTTATAACGGTGGGGTTTGAGCATGGCTAGATGTTTAAAGTTCACATTTATGTGGCACTGCAGTAAAAACCATTTGCAGTGTCATACTGAAAGAAGTGCATCTAAGTGTAGTAGTAGTGGTTATGGCTAAGGTTAGGATACATCTACAGGAAATGAATGTAAGTCAATGTAAAGTCCCCACAAGGAATGAATACACAGCGTGTGTGTGTGTCATTGAGACATGGGATAAGCCTATGTCCTGAGAATGATTGCCAGAGCTATTTCTCCTGGGGCCTGGTATGAACAAAGACAAGACTACTTGAGACACACAGGTGTGTATGTGTGTGTGTGTGTGCAGGCTGAGTGTGTATCCATGTCTGGTTTTGTGTTTTATGTGTTCTTCTCCCTCTCTCTCCTGCTCTCCCCTCCCTGTCTCTCTGTCTCATACCTACAGACACTGCATGTTGACTCTCTTTGTCCAGTCTATCCACTGTGGATCTTATTATGGCAGCTGGTTGAATAGCAGCCTGTCAACCTCATCAGATCTTCTTTTTCTTCATTTTCTTCTCTCAATCTCTCCCGGGGTCTCTCTTTCTCTTTTATTCTTCTTCTTCTCCTTCTTCTTTCTTCTCCTTTATTTTCTGTGCGGCTTTGTTCGGCCTGTTCTCCCCTCATTTCCTTCTTGCTCTGTAATCATCCTCTGCTCGCTGGCAGTCTTGTTATAAATGGGTGTTTACCACTGGCCACACACTGAACAGCTCCATGTAACTGCATCCACCAATTGACAGCAGTCAATACTGGGATTTCTGTGAATAGCAGCCCAGTTAAAGAAGAGCATGAACACTTAAAAGTGACAATGGAATGTATTTTAAGAGCATCTCACATTTATTTTGATCAGTTTCATTTGAAACAATGTTGGGGATGTAAAACGAGGGCTGAGAGGAACATGGTAACCTCCTGTAAAGGACAGCGGTTAAGGGGAGAGTGAGCTTTGACAAGATGATATAAGATAAACCTTTATTTGTGCCATGACCTGGAAATTCACACTGTTACAACAGCAAAGGGACAGAAATAGGCACTTGGTGTTAAGAATCACAGAGTAATGGACAAGCTATTATCACTACAAATATAGAACAATTGTAGCTGTAATAATAAAAAGACATTGCACACTGCTATGCTGTGTGGTCACAGGAGTCTGTGGGTGTGTGAGGTCGGCTTTTGGGGGGGTCTATTGCTTGTACAGTCTGACAGCAGCAGGAAGGAAGGACCTGCGATAACACTCCGTCATGCACCTGGGGTGGAGCCGGCTGTCAAGGTCTCATGCATGGGGTGGGAGTCCTTCTCCAGCAGGGATGTCAGCTCGGCTAACATCCTCCTGTCAGCCACCACCTGTACTAGGTCAAGGGGGACCTCCCAGGACAGAGCTGGCCCTCTTGACTGGTTTGTCTAGTCTTTTCCTGTCCACAGTCGAGATGCTGCTGCCCCAGCAGACCACTGTGTCAAAGAAGGTCCTCAGAAGTGTCCCCTGTGCTCTACGTGACCTTAGGCTCCTCAGCAGGTAGAACCTTCTCCGGCCTTTCCTGTAAAGTGCCTCAGTGTTCTTTGAATCAAACACCCAGGTACTTAGAAGAGTCCACACTCTCAATGTCTGTACCATGGATGTTCACCAGCATCGGAGAGGGGTTATCTGTGCCTGTGGAAATCCACCACCAACTCTTTGGTCTTCCCCGCATTGACCTGGAGGCTGTTCCACAGACACCAGTCCACAAAGTCTTGGATCAGTTCTCTGTACTTCCTGTCATTCTCATCTGTGATGAAGCCGACGACTGTGGAGTCATCAGAGAACTTTTGCAGATGACAGTTCAGTGAGCTGTGCATGAAATCAGCAGTGTGCAGGGTGAAGAGGAACGGTGCCAAGACGGTTCCCTGCGGGCTTCTGTGCTGCAGACCACCATGTTAGACACAGACTCCTGCCCGCATATACTGTGGTCGGTTGTTGAGGTAGTCCAGAATCCAGTTTGACAGCTGGAGGTTCACCTTACATGCTTCAGCTTGTCCCTGTATGGTGTTTAAGGCACTGGAGAAGCCAAAGATTCTCACATTGGTCCCAGGCTTCTCCAGGTGAGAGAGGGCTCTGTACATGAGTTAGATGACTGTGTCATCCACTATGATGCTAGACTGGTGGGTCCCCAGATAGAGAGTGGAGATGGACCAGGACCAGGTGTGAGGTCAGTGCCACCAGCCTGTGACCGGTACCACACATGATGTTCCCCACAGTTGTGGTATTCTCCCCGGCCTCAGGCTCATGTTGAACATGTGCTCAACTAATCCACACAGCTGATCTGCGCAGGACTTAAGGAGCCTGGAGCTGATGCCACCCGGCTGAGCTGCTAGCAGGGGGGCTGGTGGGAGGTGGCTGTGAGGTGGAAATCATGGAGAGGGGGGTGGGCATGGGAGAGCTGGCAGAGGCTGTCTGACTGTGTAGGGGGAGGGGCAGCAGGACAGTCAAATCCATTAAAGAACAAATTGTTGACCCATTTCTGGTCCCCTCCAGCCTGGCAGTCAGACCTGTTGTGGCCAGAGATGGTTTTGGGGCCTTGCCAGACTCTGCTGACGTTGTTCTGCAGCAGCTGTTCCTCCATCCTCCTTCTGTAGCTGGCCTTACCCTCCCAGATCTCTCCTCTCAGTTTCCTTTGCACAGCTCTCGGATCCTCCTTGTCTTCTGAGCTCGTCTTCTTATTACATTCTTATATATTTTTTATTATATTGCTGCTTAAAGTGCCTTAGATTTTGTATTACTTATTTATCTACTTTATATTTCATTTGTATTTTGTGGCATTCATGTGGACAGTAAAGTAAGAATTTCATTGTACAGGGAAACACATTTCCTAACTGTGCATATGACAAATAAACACTCTGACCTTTGACCTTGACCTAAAGGCCGCTTTTTCTTTCTTAGAAGGGTCGATGCATGGTTTGTTGTTGGAGAAGCACCGAACAGTCCTGGTGGGTACAGTGTTTCCCACACAGAGGTTAATATAGTGTGTTCTGCAGTGTGTGAGACTGTCACTGTCCTCTGTGTGAATCACACAGTTGTGTGCCATAGCTGCTGCTTGCTGTTACAGCAAGTAGCAAGTTTTGACTTTAAACATGTAAGGCATGTATCATGAGATTAGACTCTGTGGTCATTTTCTTAAAGGATGTCCTGTCGTTAAAAAAAATCTGATACCATGTACTACACGATATCGTTTGTTTATGCTGTAGCTCATTTGTTTACATTTAGGCACAGGTGGTTTTAATGGGTTGCTCTTCTATCAAGAAATAGTGAAAAATGCCATCCCAGTTTTTATCCTATTTTACTATTTTAAAGTGATATAAAAGGGGGCAAACCATATCAGCAAACCATAGCATTTGAGAAGCTGGAACCCAGACATTTGACTTTTTTCATTAGGAATAAGAGCAAAAATAGTTATTTACATATTAAGCAGACATCCTTAAATCTCACTGAGCAGTGGATTATACACATTTACGAGGATGCACCCTCTGTTTCATACTGTGTAGTTCAGCTGTAATCGAGTCTGGCCAACAAAAAACTGGTGTTCGTTCATCATCTCTTCTTTCTCTGTGTGTGTGTGTTTATGTCCAGAGCTCTAGGTTGACTCTGGTATGTGAGGATCCACACTGTTGGATTAATCAACTTCCCCTGACCTCTGACACCTCAGCTGCCAACTGTACCATCTACAGCCAAGGTGAGTTCATAAAACACTTCCAGCATCATGCCCAGCTGAGTCTGGCTGTTTGTAATATGCACTATACTCCAGAGAACCAGTCGTTCACTTCAAGCTGTGACCTGAGTCTGCGTTTTCAGGTGTGGAGTTGTTCTGTAAGGTCACCAGAGAGCTTCTGGCTGGTGAAGGGCTCCTGGCCTCCCTGTCACTGGCCCCAGACTCATCCTCCCCACTGGCCATACTCTCTCCGCCACTCAGCCTCGTCACCCAGAAACAACCTGCTGTGAAAGAAGAGCCGCTGTACCCGACGGCACTGCGCTCAGACATTCAGCTCCTCCCACAGCAAGCTGGCATGGCCGCCATCTTGGCTACTGCCGTTGTCAATAGTGAGTGTTGTATGAGTATACATTTTTAATTGGTTGGAGCGATAATTGCATCTTCTTTTTGCAGTGAAGTATATACTTTTATTTTCATGTCATTTTCATTTTTGTCTTGTCAGCCTTTACAGCTTTTATCCATTGTTGTTCTGATTAGTGTAATGTAAGCTGGCACCTATGGCCACTGTGATCTACTGTCACTTACTTTGTCTGAAAGCTGTAATGTTCTTTTTGACCACAAGGTGATACTGCAGCTTTTTACAGCTGACAGAGTGTTTGCCCTTGTAACTGCTACTCCTTGAGGTTTCCATGTGGCTTGTGCTGTGATGTCTGTGGCTGATGGCCAAATACATACAGTATATACATACACAAACACATTCACTGAGAGTGCTGGTAATCATCCTATAAAGATTCTATATAAACTGCTCAAAAAATTAAGGGATCTTGATGAACAAATTATTCAAGGTGAAAACCTTCACAAATGTACATTATATAATTTGTTCAGAACAAAACGACATAAAAGCGGTCAGTGGAAACTAAACTCATCAACCCATGGAGGCTGGATTCAAAATCACACTGAAAATCAAAGTGAAACATTGAAATCACATGTGAATTTTATCACAGTAACTCAATGTGACTCAGAAGTGTGTATGGCCCCATGTGTCTGTACGCACCCCTGACAACATCTGGGCTGCTCCTGATGAATCAGCAGCTAGTGTCCTGAGGATCTCCTCCCAGACCTGGATCAGGGTGTCACTGAGCTCCTGGACAGTCTGTGGTTGTACCTGGTGATATCGGATGCACCAATCCATAATGTCCTATAGGTGCTCAGTTGGACTTGGGCCAGGAGAACGTGAGGACCAGTCAGTGTCATCCAGGAACTGCCTACACACTCTGATCACATGAGGCCAGGCATTGTCCTGCACCAGGAGGAACCCAGGGCCCGCTGTGCCAATGTAAGGTCTGACAGTCACTCTGAGGACTTCATCCTGGTACCTCAGGGTAGTCAGGGTACCATTGGCTATGTCTTGGCTTTGCCTCTCCATTGCATCTGTTGTCACCTTCTTTTGCACCAAAGCAGGTGAAACCGATTCACAATCACTTGTGCTTCCTAAATGGACAGATTGATCTGAGGTTTAACTGACTTGGTGTTGTACTGTCATGATCAAGCGTTCCCTTAATTTTTTGAGCAGTGAACATTATATATATCACTAGATCTGGTAACACTGCAGCAAATAATTGGAAATAACTGAATAATCAAATATCCTGTATCATAATTATTGTTCACTTAACCTTTGAGCATTAAAATTTGACTAAATTGAAAAAAGGCATTAGGGTTTGCTCAAGCTATACGGATTTGTTGTGTTTCTGTTTAGCCTACTAATTATAAATGTATGTTCTGCTGGCTATCAGAGGACATTTTCCCATGCAAGGACTGTGGGATCTGGTACCGCAGTGAGAGAAACCTGCAGGCCCACCTTATGTACTACTGCGCCAGCCGTCAGAAGCAGCCAGCAGCAGCATCGTCTCCCCCACAAGACAAACCCAAAGAATCCTACCCCAATGAACGCATCTGCCCCTTTCCACAGTGCAACAAGAGCTGCCCCAGTGCCAGCTCACTGGAAATCCACATGCGCACACACAGTGGTGAGAGCAAGATTTATATGTATGCCAAACAAACAAAGGATCAGAACACTGAGGCCTAAAATGTAGAAAAATAACCAGTGCGCATTCATCAACCAGTTGATTAGGTCTAATGGTAGATTTCCCTCAGCTAGCAGCTTGTCCTTCTGATTTAAAGTATTTTCCCTCTCTGTCTTTCCACAGGTGAACGTCCATTTGTCTGTCTCATCTGTCTGTCAGCCTTTACCACTAAAGCAAACTGTGAGCGCCATCTTAAGGTCCACACAGACACACTGAACGGAGTATGTCATGGCTGCGGCTTCGTCTCCACCACAAGGGACATCCTGTACAGCCATCTGGTTACCAGCCACATGGTTTGTCAGCCTGGATCTCGCAGTGAGGTCTACTCTCCGGGACCAGGCCATCCCAAGCTGCCCCTGTCCACTGGTAAGTCATGTTATCATGGTAACAACTGATTTTCAGCATAAAAGTGAGCTGGTACTACTCGGATGTGATTGTACCAGCAATGTGGTAACCTGTCAGAATTCTAGAGTGTTGATCGAGTCTCATTCCCATTTTTACAAGTTCAGTCTGGACCAAGCACATTGCTCTGAATCTTTTAAACTCATTCACGTCAGCTACTGTTATTAGCTATACTAATTATACTAATCGTTAACTCTCTTAACCAGGTCTCAGTCCAGGAGACTCTGGTGTAGTGCTGAAGTGTCAAGTGTGTGGCCACAACTCGGACTCCCCTGCCCAGCTTCAGCAGCATGTGCGAACCCACCTCGAGGTCAGGGTTCCAGCTGAAAGGAGCCCCACTCCTCGTCAAATTACCCCGTCAATAGTTGACCAGTCCCAGCTCCAACCATCTCCACAGGAGAAGGAACCCCTAGCTTGTGTTCCTAAGCCAGACTCATCCAGCCCGGACACAAATGGCGGTTCTACCCGCTCCTGATGCCCCAATCACTGACCTAAAGATCAAAGAGGAGCCTGATTCAGACTCAGATTCAGAAGAGCAGCAAGTTGAGACAAAGGAGGATGAAGAGGAGGAGGAGAAGATTGGTGGAGAGGAGGGGGATCAAGAAACAAGAGGGAAGATAGAGGCACAACTTGCCACCTCTTCCTGCCAGACATCGGACTCTCCAAAGAGTCCAGCCACCACAACTGTGAAGGCAGAACCAACTAGTCCCACCCCTGGTTCTAGCCCTGCCCATGTGGGAGGCACAGGGTCCATTCTTCCAGGAGGTGCAATGTTCTTGCCTCAGTACATGTTTAATCCTGAGGCAGCCATTTTGCCTCAGGCCTCGGAGATACTGGCTAAAATGTCAGAGATGGTCCACAGCCGACTGAAACAAGGCCAGACAGTTCCTCAGAACAACTCAGCAGCCTTCTTTCCCTCTGGATCAACTGCACCTACAGCCACAGCCACTGCACCTCACAAAGGAGCCACCTGCTTTGAGTGTGATATCACCTTCAACAATATCAACAACTTCTATGCACATAAGAGGCTATATTGCTCCAGTAGACACCAAGCAGAAGGTACAATCTCAACTTCAGTCCCTGGACCCACAAGGGATGCGGCCTGCCAGTGGGATACATGGTTCATCCACATCTCCTCAGGGTGGAGCAGCAAGTAGAGCACCCTCTGCCTCTCCTACTGACTCTGACCCTCTAGCTGGTAGTGGAGCAGCAGAATCCAGGAGAGTGGTGGAAGTGAAGACAGAAACTCCTGTGGGAAGAGAGGGTATGTCATCCTCTTCTGAAGGGGAAGGTGGAGGTGCAAGTGTGGGAGGAGGAGGTGGAGGAGGAAGAGCCAGCGAAGGCAGTCAGAGCCCTGCTAGTGGTTCTGCAGAGGACCTAGAAGACGATCCCAAAAGAACTTTCTGCGAGGCCTGCAACATCCACTTCAGCCGTCATGATAACTACACTGTTCACAAACGCTTTTACTGTGCATCACGCCACGACCCGACAAACCAGCGGGCCGTGCACATGGCCAAGGCAACCACCGTAACAGCCTTCCTTCCCCAGCCCATCCGCACACGCAAGAGGAAGAAGATGTATGAGATTCACATGGCCAGAACTGAAGCATTAGCTAATGCTGCTGCTGCAGCCACTGCTGCTACTGTTGCTGCCTCTGCCCCATCTCCCTCTGTTCTGGGTTTGGCATTGAAGCAGGAAGGTTCTCCCAGCTTGGCAGGCAGCTCCAGCCCTGAAGGAGATGGCCCAATTGACCTGAGTAAAAGGCCTCGTCTAAGAGATGTTCCACGGCAGAGCAATAGCAATATTCTTCCTGCCTTGCCTCTTACAGACTACCATAAGTGCACCGCCTGCAGCATCAGTTTTAACAGCATCGAGAACTACCTGGCTCATAAAACCTACTATTGCCCTGCCACCACCCTCCAGCCCCACACCTTGGAGCAGCTTCACAGGCTCAAGAGATCAGCCTCTGCCTCTCCCAAGAGCAGGTCTCAGCAGGAGCGCTCAGATCTTCTACATCCTATGGAGGCTAAAGCTCTCTCCGCTGAGTGGGTCACGCAGGCTCAAGGCACATCATCCAGTCCTCATCCATCTGTATTACCTGCCTCTGATGCTGCATCTCCTCCTCAAACAAGCATCAACCTTGCAGCCACCCCAGGACCTGGAGCCAAAAGCATAGCTGCTGGTTCCCCTCAGATGCTCTGCCCATACTGCCCTAACAGGCCTATCACCTGTGATTTGATGGAGCACTTCAAGACTGCCCATGGCGTGGTTTTAACCATTCAGCCACCCCAGGAGACCCTGTCCCAGCCAGGCAGTGTTGTAAGCCACAGCCCCAGCCTTAGCCCCAGCGAAGGAGCTGCTGTGACCACCTCTACAACCCCAAACAGCCAGACCAAACTGGTCTCCCGAGTTCACAGAGATAGCATCAATGGGCTGTCCAGGAGTGGTACAACTTCCCCTGTTTCCCCGCTGGTAAATGGCAGCCCTTCATCTGGGGGTAGATCACCTTCAGCCAGCTCACCTCTGCCTGTGTCTCCTCCAAGGACTTCGTCTTTGACTTTGTCACCTGTGCCTGAAGTCCTGAGGGAGATGGTGGGGTCACCCCACCTCCCAGACAAGGTTGCCCCAACCACGGCCTCTCATCCCGTCCCCACACCTCAGCCTGCCCCTGTCGCTGGCCCTAAAACCCCAGTGATCTCCCCGGTCCAGAATGGTAACTCCCGCTTCTGTCGGCTGTGCAACATCAAGTTCAGCAGCCTCTCCACTTTCATAGCTCATAAGAAATACTACTGCTCATTTTTTCTGGGTTGAGGATTTCTTCACTAAGTTTCAAGAAGCTCAGATGTCTCTTGTCCTCTGCCATGTCTCTCACATGGGTGGAGCGGGGGTGCTCAGCTGGCGTGACTATGAATGACAATGTATGACTGTTACTCACCTGGCAGGCCCTGATGCCCAACAGCTCCAGAGCAGAATTTGGGGTTACCAACATTACAGTAACTGATATTCCTTCTATGGGTCAAAGTTTGTAGTACACTAAGAGGTGAGAACTGCACTTGCTGGTGTGCCCTCATCCTGTCTTCGTACCCAGTTCAACATCTACCACTCCCAGGCCTCACAGTATGTTGCTCTATGGGACATTAAAGTTAACGGCCTTTTTTCTGTCTCTCTGTTAAACTGAGTTTATAACAGCAGTAATTAGATTGTGACTCTTGGAGGCATTTCTGACTGATAATGATATAGTAATGAAGATGATGATGATGAAGAATCCTGTCTTTTCCTGGGCTCTTTAATGTTCCAGATTGAAACGAAGGAAGCTCTTGTGTGTAAAAGACTTGATCATGCTTTTATTACCTGTGCATACTGTATGATGTCTGGAAAAAGAATTCTATAATGCTTTTGGTTTCAACACTGGTTTTTTTTTGCTTACTAGATAGGCTAAAGTGTTTTTAGCTGAAAAGCAGATATGTGTTATTGCAATGTTACTAATTACTGAAGGTTCTGAAGGATATTTCAAAATGGACAGCTTCTCTTTTCTTTCAAGACAAAATTGTATTTTCTCTTTAAACTGCAAGGGAGAAAAAAAATGTGAAATATTTATCTTAGTCCTCACTGATTTCATGCCAACAGAAAACTACCTACCTAGTGGCTGAGAGTATTTGTATTTTTTATTTGTATATTTTTCATACTGTTGGAAGGAACCGTTTGAATCTGGGTGTGTTCAATTGTATTTTCTAAACGTAGATATGTAATATCTTCTCACAGTAATCACTGGGATCACACTGAACTTTGTTATCACGTAGCATTTTGTTTTCTGTTTTGGTAGCCTTTAATTGATGGGGAGGTTTGAAAGCCAGCACCGTGTTTATTTTTATCCCCTCTTGTACCTTGCTGATTAGCAACATGATTAGATGAGAACAGCTTCCTCACTTACAGATTTTCACATCAGAGAGTTGAAGAGAGTGCTTCTGATGATGTTGCATTTACACTGTTTTGAATGATGTAGCCTCCTAGGTGTTAGGGTGTACAACTTACCAGTTCGATCAGAAGTCTGTCTTTACTTACCAACCTCCATACCATGCAAAGTATGGCCTTTAAGGACACACAACTTTATTGTTTATTTTAGCTGTTTTTTATTTTTTTGCAAACTGCCATTTCAGACTTCTACTAAGTCATACACAAAACATTAATGTTGTGATGTCTATTACACATCTTAAAAGACAGCATTTGACTGTGTTTCTGTCCAGTACACACACAGTTTACAATACATTTTCCCATGCTGCTGTCACAGTTGCAATACAGTGTTAGCTAGAACTGTGAAATGCTTTTTTCCAATATGGATGTTGAGCTGGTGTAAAGCTCATCAGGGCCCAGATTTTATTCTGAAATGAAGCTGCAAATAGACAATATTGTACCCAGATGCTGAATTTGTTCCAGATTTGTTCATTTTCCTACCCCATAGTCACAGAACATTTCCCTCAGGACTTGACTTTGCCAGTGTGTAGGAGCCTTGAAAACAGCATTTGGACTGTCACGATGCACTAAAACTCCAGACTTCTAAAATAGTATCAGGGTGGTTGGAGCAGTGAAAGGCCAATCCTCCCACACTGAAGGGATGTTTCTGCTCTTGTGGGCGACAGTGGAGCACATGGACTAGCTGCTATTAGACGTTGTTGTTAAAATGCTAATATCAGTCAAACTGTAACCCTCCCGGCAAAGGACAGAACTAGACCTCTATTTATTAAGTAGTAGCATTACAAGGCCCACGCATGCTGCAAATCGGTCTTCACGTCTTGTCGGCAGTGGTTGAGAGCACTGAGATGTTATCACCTTATAAAGTTGTAATGGCGAATGTGGCCGAGATGATCTGTTCATAGCATATGCAGCAGGCTCAGAGCAACACTGCATTTCAGCTGTATTTCTGCTGAACTGATGCTCCATTTTTAGCTGGGTTTCGTCCTTCAACCTCTGAGAAACAAATGTGGCTTCTTAGCAGCTAAATTCTCCATGTGCTGTGTTCACCATTTAGGAACTAATGTTGCCTACAACACTGCAGTTTTAAAGGATAATTTAGCTACAGTAGACCCATAATGTTGTCAGTGCTGTCAGTGAGGGAAATTTCATACTTTCAGATACTGAAGTGCTACTTTGCCTAAAACCCCCTTGAGAGTATGTACAGTAGTATTAACCTCTGCATTTTCTATCAAACACTGAAGGATGGAAAATGACATCAAAAGTTAAAATACATTTGCACACATGCACAATTACTCACATTATTTTTACAAAGACTTCTGCTGTCCCCTGTTGACATCACTTTTACATGTAACCAGAAATTCCCAAGCCTGTTTCATCGAATAATGTTTGCTCCATCTGTCTGTTTCCAAAACAGACAGAAAGAGCTTGATTTCATAACCTAATTGAAAGATTCTGGTTGAGTTGGGGTTAGGGTTCTGTGGTTTGGCACAGCACTGTACCACACACATCTTACTGCTAAGTGTTTACAGTTGTGCTGGTCTACCTCTCTCTGTTCTTCAAAGGAGAGAGAAGAAGCAGAAGAAAGACGTTTCAGCTAGTCACAAATTGAGGAACCGAGTGCTGGAAATCATCCTCTGAACTTACAGTACCCCTTTTTATTGCACTGTGTTGTATAAAAATATGCTGAATGTTTTCGTTTAAGTGACTTTTTTTGTAATGTATTTGTTATACAGCACTTTCCCCATCCAAAATGCATCATCCTACCTTGAAGGACTCTGAATTTTAACCTTCACATGAAACTTTTTTGTAGTGTAAATGTATTTGTTAAAGATTTCTCAGATGTCCACAATGGAGAAAATCACAATGAATGTCAAAACCTTTATTTCGATGTTTTAATTTGATTTCGGCTCCACTACACTCTTGTCCAAACTATGCATGGGAAATTAAAAAAAAGTTCTGAGAGACACTGGTGAAGAGTGCGACTGTGCTTGAATGCGTATTGTGTGAACACCTACATACACCTTTCATCATGTAACTGAGTGAGAGTCCTTGACTTTAAGGCTAGATTTACTGTTGCTTGTGTGTAGTCACTCAAAAATCACATCCTTTCATTAGAAAGTTTCCAGTGCACCATTTCTGACAGATTCTGGCTCGTGAAGAAAGGCTGAATGAATCATCAACGCTGCTTTTAAAAAGAATGTGCGTGAGTAATTGTATCTGTAAGATGCCCAAGGCTGCTCCAATCAATGACAAAGTGTGCAGACAAAAACACTTGGCTTCCTTCTACACAGAGAGAAGGAACTGATGCACATTTCTAACTGAGTCACCCTGTGCTTAAGCCATGAATTATAGGATGTGAATTAACTTTCTCCTGTTATCTTAAGTTACTGTGGCTGTGCTATAAAATGTGAGAGCGCTTTGTTGTGTTTAATGTAGACCTCAATGACTCTGACTCAGGTAACAGGGACTCAACTCAGACTTGACTTGGACTCGAACATTGATGACTGTGACACTGGATGCATAACAAGAAATTGAGAAAAAACAGTTCTATGCCAAAATATGTAAAAATGAAAGAGTTCTGCAACATCAGATTGACACAGCGCTCATTCACCAGCAGTTAACAACTACCTATTAACGGAGACATGGCTCCAACAACACACACATTGAACAGAGGGGACAGCTCATATATGTAAGGGAAATGATGGCTGTTGAGTCAACTATGAAATCCAAGACCACCGTTTGTATCTAAATAACGATGGGACAGCTGTGGCTCAGGAGGTAAAGCAGGTTGTCTCCTAACCGGAAGATTAGCGTTTTGATAACCAGCTTATCCAGTCCACATGTCAAACACTGGACCCCCAGTTGCTCCCTGTGATATATGGGTGAATGGCCAAATAGTGTGAAAGTGTGCTGCAATGCATAGAAAAGCACTATACAAGTATAAGACCATTTACCAAATAGGACCATAGTGTCTTTTTATCCTCAGCTTTTGACACTCAGATGTGATGTTAAAGTCCTTTCTGATGAACCTTCATTCAACCTTCAAATCAAATTCACACTGCTGTTAAGTGTCATCTCCAAGTCCTCAGCGGCCTAGATGAGCTGTACAGTATACTGCTGAATGATTCAACACTGAGCTGAAATATTTACTTTGTTGTACTTATAAAAACTGCAGCATGTTTATGTGCTACAACATTTGTAACAAACACACTTTGAAAAGCCTTTTTCTTGTGTATGTAACAGCTCAGTCTGAAATTAGAATTGAGCTTCAAGGTCCACTTAGTATTCACTTTTGCCTACATGCTGTCAGAATCATAGCTTGACTCAGACTGACCTCAAGATTTAATGGTGAACACTGGTTTATCCATCCTGTTATCTGCTTTAGTTTCTTTCCTCTTCCCATTTGAATGTTCATAAAGTGGAGACAATAGTTTGTTGAAAGTTGAACTCATTTTCATTCAACTTCAGTTCAACTTGTGTGGATGCACCATTGCCTCCAGATGTGGTACAGTAAATTTGTGTGTTTACACACATTTCTCTGTATCGACTGATGATGGTCAGTGCACTCAGGTTGGACAATGGGTCTTCACTGGCTTAATGGCAGAGAGTATAGTATAGTACCAATATGTACCAATGAAAACAGATGTGTAACACTCTAAACAAAGCGGGTAACTGAGAAACCAGTAAATCCAACCGGCGGTCACTGCATCTTCCCCCACACGATCACATACAGTCGTGGTTTAAAATTTATAGTTGTGGTGGACATGTGGTTCCTCTACCTTCCTCCAGGTGGTGCTGCAGCACCCTCTGCAGCCCTGCTTCTCATGACCATGTGTGGG